ACGTTGCTTACATCTAGAGATCTGACCAGATTAGGCACATTTGGCCTGCTACGACTGTAGGCAATTAAATACACCTGGTTCGCATGGGGAATGACAATTATTTGCTCATTAGGAATAAGAATCACTAATTTGAGAATAAAGTTGCATACTATGCATTTCCTTTACAGCTTTCTCTTAAAAATCAAAGCATTTCTCGAAGTTCTTGGCAGGTAGATTGCCCCTATTTCATGGTGCAGACAGTGTGGACCAATGGTTCTCCAACCTAGGCAAGCATCAGAATCCCCCGAGGGCTTGTTGACGTGTAGGTCTCTGGGCCCCAGCCCCAGAGTTTCTGATTCAGTAGATCTGAGGTAAGGCCCAGGAATGTGCATTCCTAAAAAGCTTCCCGGTGATGTTGATGTGATGTCCCTGGTCCAGGGACCACCCTTTGAGAACTATTGGTATTGGCAAACTACAACATGGTTGGACATCTCTGTGCCACGCGGTGCAACCAAACAAAGGAGAGCAGTGAGTGGCTGATGTGACACTCCAGTGAGTCTTTGTGCTTCTCGCGATATTCAGAACTGAAGCTCACGTTCCCTGCCAATCTCAGTGCTGTCATACTGGAGGCAGGCGTGGGACCGGCCACATCTGAGTCAGCCGATGGAGTGGGGAAACCGAGGCCACAAAGGTTGTGAGTAGGATACCAGCAGGCATAACGCTTCATTCCGTTTCATCTAACTTGTCTGTGATTCATTCTGGGAAAGAATGGGAGTGCCAAGCCAACAAGCAGAGGAAACAACAGAAGAACCAGAATCATCAGTCCCAACACAACAGGAGGATGTCAGAGCTGGTACCTCCCAGTCTGAGGTGTGAAGAAGAAGTTGTATCTTACGTGTACCCTTTCCTCCAAGGTCTTTTCCCATAGTGTTTGGTTAGGTTTGCTTTCGTCCCACCCTCTGCCGAGAATCGTCACCTTTTTCCTGCTGCTACATTTTTCACTCTTTAAGGAACATTGTTCATTCATGACTCTAAGCCAATGGCTTCTTTTTTTCCTTTTGGAAGGAACTTTTCTGCAGATGAAATTTTCTGAAAATGTCAAAAACATAAGAGCGGGGCTGCTCAGGTTGGAGTAAGTATGGTTGATGTGAGCCTCACCTGGCTGGCTTCCTCCTCAGCACTTAAAAAAAAAATTTTTTTTTTTAATGTTTATTTATTTTTGAGAGACAGAGAAAGAGACAGAGCACGAGCAGGGAGGGGCAGAGAGAGAGGGAGACACAGAATCCGAAGCAGGCTCCAGGCTCTGAGCTGTCAGCACAGAGCCCAATGTGGGGCTGGAACTCATGAGCCGTGAGTTCATGACCTGAGCCGAAGTTGGACGCTTAACCCACTGAGCCACACAGGCGCCCCTCTGGTCAGAACTTTAAACCCACTTATTGAACCCTTTCTGTCATTTGCTTTCTTTTAACCCAAATCTACCAATCTTGAATCTCATTTCTCTTGGTCCACATAGGTCACAACTAATCTTATCAGATCACCAGTTTATCAATTTGTGCAGAATAGTATAACGCTGGTCATAAAATATGAATGGGGACCCTACTCAATAACATTTGTATTTTAACTCCAGAACCTTTAAAGAATGGTTACCTCACCTGTGGGTGGGGCCCACATTAAAATTCAAATCTCTTCAGTTACTTAGAAAAATTCTATTTATTTATTTATTTTGAGAGAGAGAGAAAGAGAGAGAGAGAGAGCAAGCGAGCAGGGGAGAGGCAGAGAGAGATGGAGAGAGAGAATCCTAAGCAGGTTCTGCTCCAACAGCACTGGGCCCGAGGCAGGGTTTGAACTCACGATCCGTGAGATCATGATCTGAGCCGAAACCAAGTGTAGGACACTTAATGGACTGAACCACCCAGGCGCCCCTCTTCAGTTACTTTTACTAAAGTTGCTTTCCAAGTGACATTTCAATTAAAAATGACATAATGAAAGATATAAACTCCTTTATTTAAGAGCATCTTTCTCCTTGGGTAAATATGAAATAATAATTTAGAGACAATGGCAGCTCAGATTTCAGATAGTAACAGGCCGTTTCTACTTGTTTTTGGTCCAATATTTCTGGGCAGGCACATCTCTCACCTATGGAGACTTTGTTGTCAAATGCTACACACATTCGAGAGTCAAATGACTCTCTAATTTCTTAAAATCATGTTCATAGATGTCCCTATCCCTCGCTGATCTTGGCAAGCTGCTCTAAACATTCTGTGTCAGCATGGTTTGGGTGCTCCAAAGATAACTCCCTCGCTGTCCACAGGGGGGCAGGACATACCATACTGCACGTTGTCCCTATTCCCTTCTATGTGGGGGGAAAATCTAACCGTGGAAAAGAATGCCCCAGGAAACTGCTAAAGGTGCCTACGCCAGACCTCAGTTCAGCTCAAGAAACTCTTACCCCTTTTTTATATTCTTCATAGATGAAACCACTGAGGAAATATGAGAGAATTGAAGACTGGACTGAAACTTAACTCCTATCTACTATTTCAAATTCTCAAAATGTTGTGAGACGATCTAAAAGCATATGTTCACTTGTAGTTTTTTCTCTGTATATTTTTACCACACACACACACATACACACACACACGCACAGCAAAGGCCTTAGCATGGCCTTACTAACATTGGGGTAAATTCCTATTTGAAACGTATCCATGAGGGAGGAAGAGATAGGACTTTATACATGACTGGGGATCATTGCCACGATATTTGAAATATGAGATGTTTTTTAATATATGGGAAGCCTTGGATTAGGAGTCACAATGACTTGCCTCCCAGGCCTGACTAGACTACTGACCAGTGTTCAACCTTGGGCCCAGCCCCTGAGTTTATTTGCTCACCTGTAAGTCAGAGCTGCAGCCCATCAGGCAAAGGGCAGCCTACACTTTCCTTGCATAGACCAGAAGTGGGTAGTTATGTAGGAGAGTAGTATTCCCCTCCCCACTGCCCCCCTGCCGGGGGGAATCTTAGAGCTGGGAAGACAGACCACATCCTTTGTGGTCCCTGTCTCAGTGTCATTTACACTAACACATGACTCTATCTAGTGTGCTGAGAGATCCCAAGCCACAGCAAATAGGCTCATTACTTTGTTTCCTGTTTACCGATAACTTGTAGCTGATAATGATTGCTGTGAGCAAAATGAAGAGAGAACACGCTGGGTTGCAGTTACAGGCAGGAAACATTCTTATTGGATGGAGGGTCTGAAACCATGAATCATCATTAACCAGACTCCATACTGATAGAAATTAAAACACTGATAACACAAACCACAAGTGTTCATTTCCCCGAGGGAAAGGATGGAGAGAGACCACAAGGAGGAAGCCTCTTCTGGATGACACTCAGGAGACGGATGTACAGAGCCAGAAGCGGGGCCAGGCCAGGAGAGACGGCGGCGTGCATCCCAGGGGTGACAGGTAGGCGGAAGGGGGGAAATGCTGCTTCTGCAGGTGAGAAGTGAGTTTTGAGTCTGTGGTTTTGCAGAGGTGGCATGTGCAGGCCTGGAGAAAGGGGGTGAAGGGGGTGAAGACCTGCAGAGAGGGGCGGGAGGGCACAGGGGAGAGATGTGGGGGGAGATGGGCTTGGCCTTGATACAAAAAGCAAACAAAAGAATGAAAAGAAGGACCAGCAGATGTGCTTTGGGTATAATGTTAAGTGACAAGGGCGGGATACAGCACGGCATCTATCCCTGGATTGCAGTAATATGGAAATGATGTGCACAAAAAAGTAAAGAAGGAATGGAAGGGAACTCATAAAGGTAAAAACATTTTAATTTGGTGATTTGTTGGAGCAGCTGAAAATCTGAGAAGCAACTTTTCCCCATTCAGTGTCATTCCCTTTTATGTTGCTAATTTAGTAAATAGTAAACAATTTTAATGCACAGACAGGAAAGAAGGTCATGGTAAAGCATCCCTTGAGTCTAAAGGTCAGAACCTGCCAATCACAAAGTCAAAACTAGGGGATGTACATGGGATTGCTATAGGGCCACAGGGGCATCTGTGGGGGAGATGAGGAGGAGAACAGCCAGCACAGACCCTGGAGCAGTGTGACCTGAGGTCTCAGTTTCCCTACCTGTAAAATAGGGATAATAACAGCACTTATAAGACTATTTTGAAGATTAAATAAAATAACATGTGTAAAGGGCTTACAATCCTGCCAGTTCACAAGTTCTCTTAGGTGTTTGCTATTATCTGGGGGAGGCCAGTGCCAAAGAAGCGAAAGCAGAGCCCACACCTTGAGGAAGTTAAGGCATGAAGGGAGAGGGGAAGAGCAACTTCCCCCTGCAGTCAAGCCAGTGGACCTCTGCAGGGACAGAAAAAGGCAGGGAGAAGCAAAAGTGAGAGGAAGGGGAGTAGAAGACTGGCAACACACACATACAAAACAAGTGTGGGAGGAAATCATCTGAGATCAAATAAAACCATAAAGAAGAAAAAGGCACAAATGTGATAGAGGTTTAGGGTCCGCGATGCGTTCTTCTATGTTGGAATGGGAACACTGGATTTGGGGTCTGTGCCCTCGGTTCTCTCCCTGGCCGCATGTCCTCTTGTCTGAGTGTCCTTGGAAAAGTCATTTATCCCCTGTCTCATTTTTTTTAAATCTGTGAAAGTGAAAATGGCGAGGCCAACTGCACAGAGCTGTTGGGATGACTAAAGGAGAGCATGTTATGGTTGGTGGCTGAACACCCAAAAAATGCACCAGGAGATTCTAGGACCATAGCATTCCAGGGCACAGAGCACTGTGGGAGAGAAGCAGTCCTCCGCCTTGACTTCCAGCGTTCAGGCCCAGGAATGAGCGAGGCAGTGGGCGGGGAAGACACGCACGGGGAATCTGGGGACAGATAAAGGAAACTCGTGATGGGGCGAGGCTGGGCTGAAGAGAAACAGATTGGGGAAGAGCTGCAAAGGGAGGGGTCCGCTGAAAGAGGAGGGGGAGGCCGCGGAGGGAGAGGGTGGGAAGGCAGAGATGGGAGGGCAGTGTGAGAAGAAAAGCAGGCTGGGGAAAGAAGGATTGGAATGCAGAAGGAACTTAGGGAAGGAGAAAGTATTGAAGGCGGGAGGGAAAGACGAGTGGGAAAATGGGGACGCAGTGGAGCGGGGGACCAGGCCGCGCGAGGAAAGAGGACCCCGGGAAGAGACGGAGGAGAAAAGAAGCGGCTAAAGCCAGCGCCAGAAGAGCCTGGGGACTTCGAGAAGAGAGGCTGGGGCCTGCAGTAGAGCGCGGCAGCTTTCAGCATCCATCCGGACTCTAAAGACTCGTGGCCTTTGCTTGACCTCGAGGGTCGGGAACAGACGCCCTGTCTTTGTGGAGAGCGGTACCCCCACCGAGAGAATGGGGCTGTTCGGGGTTGGGCCCTGCGCCTGGAGCCCGGTGAGGCTTCGCTGGCCCCGGGCGGGCCCCTGAAGGCAACGAACGGCCGGCCTGGAGGTCGGGGCCGAGGAAGGAAGGTATCACCAGCCAGAGCCAGAGCGCAGTCCTCTGCAGACGCGCCTGCCGGGAGCAGTCTCTGGGGGGCGCCGCCGCCGCTTCCCTCCTCCGGGGCCGCTTGCTCCCCGAACAGTGGAGGCAGCGGGAGAGGACTTAGCGCCCGCGCTGCGCTGCGCTGCGCTGCGGGAGAGGTGAGGGGGGCGGGGGCGAGCTTCCGACGGTGCTAGGGGGACTCTGGCGCTGCGGATGCTCCTGGCCTCCCCGCCGCCGGGCGACCGCGCCCGCCTTCCCTGGCCCAGCGCTCCCGGCCCGCTCTGCGCACGCCGCCCGGCAACCCCGCGCGCGTCCCGCGGGGGCGCTGCGTCTCCCAGCCACACCGGCACACCGCGGCCCCTCTCCCCCACACCTCCTGGCCACACCACCGGCCTCTCCTCCCACCCTCCGCTCCCCTCCTCCCCCCACCCCTCCCCTCCCGACGAGGGGCGGGAGGGGGCGTGGCAGGGCCGGGGTTTGTGTGGCTGGGACCCGGCTCCTTGCACTCGGAGTCCGCGCGAGGAGCCGGGCCCCGGCCGCTGTCCAGCCGCTCCGTGCCCCTCACGCCCTGCGCCGCCGCCTCTCTGGGAGACGCTGCCACTCGCTCGCCATGGATACCCCTAGAGTCCTGCTGTCGGCCGTCTTCCTCATCAGTTTCCTGTGGGATTTGCCCGGTTTCCAGCAGGCTTCCATCTCATCCTCGTCGTCGTCCGCGGAGCTGGGCTCCGCCAAGGGAATGCGAAGCCGCAAGGAAGGGAAGATACCGCGGGCGCCACGAGACAGTGCCACGGCCGCGGAGCCCCAGCAGCGCCACGAGCCACAACCGCGGCCACAGGATGAGCCCCGGCGGCGGCCGCCGCCGCAGCAGCCCGAAGCGCAGGAGCCCCCCGGCAGGGGCCCACGCGTGGTGCCCCACGAGTACATGCTGTCAATCTACAGGACTTACTCCATCGCCGAGAAGCTGGGCATCAACGCCAGCTTTTTCCAGTCTTCCAAGTCGGCTAATACGATCACTAGCTTTGTAGACAGGGGACTAGGTAAGTGGCAAAGAAGACGCCCCACTCTTCTCTCCCTGGAACTCCGCAGCCAGGGCGCTGCTTCGGCTCTGGCAGGAGGTTGCGTTTGTGAATTACCATCCCGCTCTGGACGCCTCCCCCTTTCTTTTCTTAAATTGTTTTTCTCAAGCCCGAATAAGTTTATGAATGCAGCTGCAGATTTGACTCCGGTTTTCAACCCTCCCTTCCTCGCTTCCTTCTTTCCCTTCCTCCCTTCTCTCTCGTCTTTCTTTCTCTTGTCTTTTGCAGAAAGCAGCGTGGTGGCCGCTCGTCTGGTGGCTGGTGGAGGAAGCGTGGAGGACGGGAGGTGGCAGGCAAATCACTGGGTCTGGAGAGGGGACGCGGCGGGGACTGACGGCACCCTTGCCACGGGGTCTCGGGTTGTGCGTGGTGCGCGGTACAAGGCCTGAGCTGCGGTGGCCGACCGGGAGGGCCCTGGGGCACGAGTGAGCAGTTGTAAAGCCCCGAGCTCCCGTTCGCTCCGGGAAAAGCCGGCAGAAGCAAGTCCCGCGGTCGGAGGAGTGAGTCCTCGAGCGGCGTCTGGCATTGCCCCGACCCAGCCGCAGCAAGGGTTCTCAGCTCACCCCAGCGCTGGATGTGGGGGGGTATTAACAGCCTGGAGGGAGCCCGGCGCCCTCGGGCGTTTTTGCTCCTGCAGCGAGCGTGCTCTCTGCGGCTCCGAGGCGTCAACCTAGTCGTTTCTGCTAAGGCAGCCGCGAGCAACTGGCAGGGCGGGGCAGGGGCAGGGCAACTAAGTTTGGGGTTTGTTGGTACTTAATCCATATGGGTGCATGGATGTGTTCATCCACCTTTCCCAGCCAGGCATCGCTCCTCTCTTTGAGCTTCTCCCAGGGGCCCTATTCGTGGTTCCCTCCGAGGGCGTGGGTGCATGAGTGGGTGCCTGCGGAAACTCGTGCACCAGCTCCTTGCCACCCGAGATGGCCCACGTGGTGAGTGCCTTCAAGAGAACCCCGCTCTCCCCATGGCCCCCAGAAACTGAGGAGGGATCCACAGGCACCAGGAACTCAGCTCCTAAAGAGACCATAACGTGGAAGGAGGCAGGAAAGGAGGGGAGAAAAGGGAAAGAAAAGGGAAAGGGGAGGAAGGAGTCGAGAAGACAGGGAGGAGGAGGTAAAAGAGAGCGAGATTTGGGGGCAGCTATCCATTCCACCATCCTGCCCAGACTTAGCTCCGCGGCTTTGACCGGTTCCCCTCCTCCTACTCCCAGGTCAGTGAAAGTGGGGTCGCTCGGGAACCCGCGAGCGCCAGGGTTCAGGCGGACAGGGCTGCTCCGCTCGGCCTGCCTTGAATACACGCAGGTCCTCGGACCTTTTCGGAGGAGGCTAACGGCCCCCGAGCCCCGGGCTCTTCCCGGGCTTCAGACCCCAGCCTCCACCCTTGCAGCCACCTTCCTTGCAGACCAGGGTTCCTGCCCACGCTGGATTCGCTGCTGCAGCCGAGGTCAGCGAGGTTCATGAGCTGCTGAAAGGTCCAGGCAGCAAATTAACGCCGGCTATTTTATGGTGATTTTAGGGCTACTAAAGTCACCTTTGCAGACACACGTGGCTTCTTCGTAGCGCTGCAACTGGATCCCCAACCTCGGTGCCGGCAGCGCAGCTCGCCCCCTCCCCCCACCCGGTCTTCTCCCTGCCTCTGTTGTCTCCCTCCCTCTAAATCCTGTTTACCGTCCGCCTTCTCTGCTACCCTAGTCAAAGACTACCCTACACTTCCCTGGTGGAGACACTAAAGAAGCTCAGAGAAAATTGCTTAAGAGGCCTTTCCCCAGGGGAAGAAATCCCGGAGGCCCAGGCTGGCGGGAGGCTGGGCGCCTGTTTTCTTTTCCCCAAAGGAAGTGGCAAGAGTCTCCGCCCCTCCCCCAAGCAGGCACCCCTAACTCGTAAGCTGCGCCCTCCGAGTTTGGCCCGGGACCAAGGGACCCTGCAGGCTGTTGGGAGGTGTCTACCGAAGCCTGTGGCGTGCAGGCAGGAGTGGGAGGTCTCTGGAGGGTTCAGCTCCCGCGCCGACGCGGCCTCCCTTCTCCACTGCTGGCGCTGCAGTCTCCCCCCGGGCACCAAACTGGGCGCCCCGGGCGCCGGAGGTAGGGAAAGGGACTGGCTGCGCGCCCAGGCCTGGGGGCCTCTGTTCCCCAGCCAGGTCTCCAGGCTAGCGGGACCAAGACCCAGACGTCGGCTTCAACTCTGGAACGCGGTCCCCAGCCGGAGGAGACGCGGAGTGACCACTTGGACCTCAGCTTCGAAGGCGCGGTCTCCTCCACTCTCTCAGGTTCCCAGAAAACGCGAAGAAAGGCAGTTAGTTGACTGGGAAGGCTGTGCGACTCGTCGCACGCCGCTCGGGGGCGAAGGCGTGCGGAGCTCGAGGCCGGAGGGGGCGCGCAGAGGAGGGGTTGCGTTGCGGGCTACAGCGCCAGCTTGATAAAGGGAAAGCCTCACTTTCCCTCTCACTGATTTTGATTTGATGTGTCACCGGCGGTGACCTCGGGCTGGACCTTCCGGGGCTTGCTTAGCATCGGGCCCCTGATTGGAGTGTTTCAACTCAGCGATCTAATTGAGGGTTCATGTCATAACACATCAAACGGTGTCTAGTCTCCCGTGATGGAAGGGACCCGCCAGCCGCGCATCCCCGGCTCCTGGCGAGGACTTCCGCCCCTCTCACGTGGGGACTCTGAACCGCGCCAAACCCTGCTACATCCCCTCCCCCAACCCGTGGATGGCAGGGCAAGTAGGAGAGAGCAGGGGCCAGCCGAGAGCAGGGCCGGCCGCGCAAACTTGGCGCCTTGCCTCGGGGATGTTTAAATCGCCGTCGAACGCGGCAGGCTTGGCTTGGAGCTGCAGGGTCCCTCAGGGGGAGGAGCAAAGAAAATGCAAGGAGTCTTGAAGCCGGTCCGGGAGGCAGGAACTCCTCACTTACCTACAGTATTTGTAAAAAGCCTTTCTCACCCGGGAACCCCGGAACCTCAAAAGTCACCCCTCAAGCTTGCGATTAAGAGTGGGCGAGTAGGGATAAATTCGGTCGGAAGTGAATGAAGAGCGCTTTGGGTCATAAAGATAGCACGTTCTCTGTTACCTCATCCTTGCCACCTTCTCCCCACCCCCCACACACACCTAATGAGGAGACCTGATTGCGACTTTTAAAAAAAGGTCCCTCCTTTCGGGTTGCTCTTCCAGCATCTAGGGGTGATAATAATAGCCAACATATATTGAGCATTTACTGTATACCAAGTACTGTGCTAAAATCTATTACCTGAATTATTTCATCTAATTCTAACAACAACCCCTGGGGAAAGTGCTATAAACAGTGTTTTACAGGTGAATTAAGGAAGACAGAGAGGTTAAGCAAGTTGCTTAAGGTCACACAGAGTGAGGGGTGAAGCACACATCCAATTCTAGGTCTTGTGTACTTAACGATGACACTATATGGATAGGATAAGGGGTGAGAAAGTTTCTAAAGGATGGTGGCAGGAAGCGGGAACAAAAAAAAGGGGGGACAGATTTGCCACCCGGTCTAATATTCTATGATTTCTAAGAACCAGTTTGGAGTTGGAGCAGATCTTTGGATTTGAGGGTCTGAATCTGTGCTGTGCTTTGTAGTCTCTGTAAAGGCACAAACCACATTATCCCTGATCTTTACAAATTCTTGCATATTGTGCTTTGACTTTGGATCCACAAAGATGGAAACTGCACGTTTGTGCTGGTGCAGTTGTAAGATCAGAATAGATCAGTTTGGATACAGAGAAATTGCAATTAGCACATGCTATAACCATTCAAAGGCCACTAGTACTGGAGTCCTGGGGCCTGGGAAAGGCAGACAATTAGAACTTCTATGCACTCAACATGGCTGAGAGATAGAGGATGAGAGAAAGAGAGAAACAAATCTGGAACTCTCAGCTTTGTAGTTAGAAGTGCCACATAAACAAGGGGGGAAAAAACCTCCCCCTTGGTTTTGGAAGAAACCAAAATGAGTCTAGGAATACTGCTGTAAGTTTGGTTTCCAGATGATTTGGAAATAAGACTCTTTAAAAAAAATTTTTTTTTTCCCCTGGTGGTGGTGGTGGTGGTGGTGGTTGTTACAATAGCCTTCTCAGAAAGGCAGCGGTAGGGGACAGATCAAAAACCAAAAATGAGATCGGAACATCCTTGAGGAACTTGACACCCTAGAAATGAATCCCTGGAAAGTCTGCCGTTGACTGTTGCCTTCTTGGTTTACCTTGTGGGTCTCCATTATCAGAGGGCAGGGCAGGACAATTGTGGGGATAGCCGGGCCGCGAGGAGGGCATTCTCAGAGCTGCAGACTTCCCTCGCGATTGAAGTTTGTCCCGTACAGCATGTTTATGCAAAACAGCGAGTTTCTGGGTGGACCTGGGCCGCAGAGTGGCGTAATCAACGCAGCAGCGCTTTTGCCCCGACCCTGTTGTCGTTGGCAAACGGAAAATGAAATATAAGCAGGGAAGTATTTTAATGGGGACGGAGGGAATTCACAACTGTTAATTATTTGGTGACCTTGTATTCGATTTGTTTGAGTCCCTTATAAAAACACTAATGCAGACCAGACGGCCAAGTGAGGAAGCCGGCAGAAGGTTCCAATCTAGGCTTTATTTCCCCGGAAAGAGGGAACAGCCTTGGAAAAGGATTGCTGAGCGTTCAGAGTGTGCGCGTGAGGGCGCGCCCGAGTGAGCGTCCGCGTGGGGTTTGCTTTGCTGTCCAGGTTCATGATCTTCTACCAGGCCGGTGGACTGGAAGGTCCTGGGAAAAGGCCGAGGGTGAGGGAAGGAAGCTTTAAAGCAGAAGTTTGTTCTTCCCTTCTGGTGGGAAGGATTAAAACATTTTCAAGGCCACAAACCACAAACACCTAAGCCATTGGCTTGCTGTTAAATATCAGTTGCTGTCACCCCCTTCCCTAAGGCCCTAAGGCCTTTGAAGACTCTTACAAGGGCCGCCTTAGCAAGTAAGCTAAGAACACCTAGT